GCATAAATAATCTGGGATTGTTCTTGGGGATGGAGGGGGGAATGTTTTCCATATTGAGAGGATGGTGTTGTCTTGGAATTTGGATTAGTCGAGTTCTTCTTCTTAGTGTTGAAGGAACTCTTCGCATCTTGAATAATGGAAGTTGTATTTATTAAACTGGAAGTTGGCGTGGGATTTTGGGTAGGAGAAGGGGTAAACCGATTGGGTGTGGCAATGATGATTGCTTCGTTCAAGTGTGTGTCTTTTGGTTGCCCTAGGTTATGATTTATAGGACACTTAATGGCTTTGTTTGGATTTTCTATGGGTATGTCCATTTGGCTACTTTTTTCTATAGCCATTGCCATTTGGCCTTCATGCATGGAGGGGGGGGGGGGGGTATCTTCCCATATCTTATGGAAAGATTTTGAGGAGATTCTTTAGATACCAAAATATTTTGAGGATATTTTGGATTGGGGGGGGGGGGTAGGGTTAGGGGCAGTAGGTATAGGATTAGAGGGAGGGGTAGAAACGTCCAAGCTAGAGCCTATTTGCATGGCATTAGTATTAACTAAAGAGTTAGTGATATTTAGTGCCACGGTGGAATCTTGCATGCAAGTATCTTGTATGTAAAATGCCAAGTCATCATTTAATTGATTAAATTTATTATCACAAATAAAATTAGCATTATCCATAGTAGTTTTTGACAAAACCGTTTGCCTCTCATCTAATTGATGGTTTTTCTCGTGGGAAATGATTTGATCAGTAGCCATCTTAGGATGGGTATTTACTGAAGAACTATGATAATTAGAAGGATAATTTTTAGTTTTGTATAAGAGAGTTTGAGTAACCAAGAATTTACCTGTTTTGGCATTGAATAAATTAACTGGAATACCTGGACCTTGATTGCCTTTTGCTTGGGTGGTGGTCAGTTGATTAGGAATTCCTTTGCCTTGATTCTTCCTCTTGTTGAATGAAACAGTTTTCCATTCTGATTCATGAGCATCTTTTTTAGCTTCGTGTTGATGTTCTTGTCCTGCATGGTGAGGATCCAAGCTTTGCATTTTGATATAAGTACACTGCCTTCGTGTGTGACCAAAACGGCCACAGTTTTTACAAAGAAAATCCTCCCCTTCATAGAGTATATCCTGTTTGTGGTTTCCAACAAAAAGGAAGGTATGAACTGGGATTTCCAAAGGGATTTCAACACAAATCCTTACATATCGACCTCTTAGGGTTGTTGAGGTGCATGTGTCAATTTTCAATAGGCGTCCTATTGCATTGCCAATTTTTGCTAGGATTTTACCATCATAGAATTCTGTTGGTAATTGGGGCAGCCTAATCCAAACTGCAGAGGTAGTTAATTTTTCATTTCTAGCCACAAAATTTGGTTTCCATTTGGAGATAGAGAGGAAATGGCCATTAATGAACCATGGCCCTAGGTGTATAGCTTTGTCCATGTTTTTCTTCTTTGTGAATTTGATGATGTAATAGTCCTCACCAAGATCAATTAAAGAGAAGTCTTCTGTTGGTCTCCATAGGTCTTGGATCTTCCTCTTTAGGTAATGATGCAGCATACGTTTCCCTACTAACTTGATTATAATGGAATATTTCCATGGTTCATAGATACGTTGTCTATCTTCTAATGAAAGGGAGATTTGTATGGCATCACATAGTAAAAGATTCACTTCGTATGAGAATTTTTAATTTGTGCCTCACACAACTAAAAGCCCGTTTGGATTAGCTGATTTGAAGTAGCTGATAAGCATTAGGTGCTGAAAAGCACTTTTAAGTGTTGAAACTAATTTAATAAATAAGCAGTTACGTGTTTGGGTACAAGTGCTGAAATTGATAATAAGTTGCTGCAGTATTTGATAAAAAAAATGCTGAGAAGCTTTTTTTTCTGTTAAAAAGACTTAAATAACCTTACAACTGTTTGCACTTATAAGGGCGTAATTTTTTCAAAATTTTAGATTCCAAATCAATTAAAATATAAAATATTCTATTCATCATTTTATTTTAAATACAACTGTGCTTAGATAAAATAATTTTTATGATAATATAATTTATTTTATGATAATCATATAATCATAAGTTATAATAATTAATAAATTGACAAAATTTTCTCAGTAAAAAATAAACATAAATAAGACAAAATATTTGAAGAGAAACAGTGTCTTTATCACCACAACACTTAGAAAATAATACACCACAATTTGATATGTCCTCATTTATTACATACAGTTCAAAGATATACAAATATGCAAAGGAATATAGAATTTGTTTATCTTAAATAGTCAATGAGAATTGCAGAGTTAAAGAGGCATGGGGGAGGGGGGTTAGGTTGATAAAATACTTGAGGCAGTGGGTATTGATGTAGGAATTTTGTTCTAGAAACGAATATTTTAAGGATAAAATAGTTAAAATCTTGGTCAAACTTAAAGTGCTTATTAGCTAAAAATTCATAAGCTGGGGGTGACCAGCTTATGGCTTTTGGCTTATTTTTGACTTATAAGCACTTGGCTTATAAGCACTTTTAACTTTACCAAACGCGTATATAAGCCGAAAAGTGCTTATAATCTAGTTTGACCAGCTTATAAGCTTAGCCAAACACCCTCTAACACTAGTTGTGTGAGGCCTTTTTTTTGTCTCACAACTGTGTGGGTCCCATAATTTTGTGGACCCAAATGTGTAAGATATGGGTCCACAAATTTGTGAGATAAAAAGAGGCCTCACATAACTTACACAAGCTGTATGAGGCACAAAATAAAATCACTCGAGCCGAGCTGATGTAAGCTGAATCGCGCCCAACAGAGGTTGTTATAATTTGCGAGCTACAGTCAGACCTCTCTATAACAGCATCACTATAAAACTACGCCTCACTATAAAAGCCAAACTTTTCTGGAACCAATTTTTATGTTATGTTATAATATATATTCTATATAACAGCACCTCGCTATAACATCCAAAAATATTCGGGCAAGCGAGGCTGTTATAGAGATGTTTGACTATATATCGTTTATTGCTCATTGCTTCTATTGGTCATTGGTCGCCGAGCCGTGATAGAGTGAAGCCTATCTGTTTGTTTTTGTGTATGCGACTTCTCTATAACAGCATCACTATAAAACAACACCTCACTATGAAAGCCAAACTTTTCCGGAACCAATTTTTATGTTATATTATAATATATGTTCTATATAACAGCACCTCGCTATAACATCTAAAATTATTCGGGCAAACGAGGCTGTTATAGAGAGATTTGACTATATATCGTTTATTGCCCATTGCTTCTATTGGTCATTGGTAGGGGTGTGCATTCGAATCGGTTTATCGATATATCGAATCGATTATTTGTTATCAGTTTATCGATATCGGTTTATCGATTTATCGATTTCGATTTCGATTTCGAAATTTTCCTTATCGAGTTATCGATTTCGATTTCGATTTTATCCTCTTCGGTTTATCGGTTTATCGATAAACCGATAAGAAATACGAAAAAATAATAATAATAATAATAATAATTTTTTTAATTTTTTTTTTACCCTTATTCTATAATATCCTTTCCTTTACCCTAAGTCCCTAACCCTATTATTTCATCTACCACATTTAAGGAATGATCATATTCAAAGCTCAAGGGAATAAAGTTCAGATTAATGGAAAATAGAATTAGCCGTAATGATGTATTTTTATTTTTTTTATACCGTTGGAGTGTTTGTGGCATGCATTTGATCCCTTACTTTAGTTTCGTTGCATGTGCTTGTTGACACAATTTTTATGTTATAAACGGTGTTCGTCTTATTTTAGCTTCTTTTGGTCCATATTAGTTAGGCGTATGTATAGCGATATATACTTTCCGTGGAATCCCGCAAATTTTCTTATTGGTGTAATCGATAACCGAATCGATAAGCCCCAAAAATCGATAAATCGAAATCGAAAAAATCGAAACCTTATTGAAACGATAACGATAAGCATATATACAAATCGATAATCGATAAGTAATTATTGATAAGGGTCAAAATCGAATCGATAAATCGAATGCACACCCCTAATCATTGGTCGCCGAGGAGTGATAGAGTGAAGCCTATCTGTTTGTTTTTGTGTATGCGACCAATTCGCCTTAAAGAAAATTAAATGTATACCCATCCGGTCCGTAGTTATAGTAGCGCGTTTACCGTAAATCTGTTAGCCTTCAATTTATAAGACTCTTGATTAGTCTTGAAGAAACCATAAGTGAGCCTCATAAATTTAATTATGTTAATGGCAACCAGCTTGCAAAAAGTGATAAAAATGTGAGGAATTTATTCTCACGTCCTACTGCACATCAATTGTTGAATCTATTTTAATGTTATTATTAAAAATTGGAGTAATTTAAAATACTTTCTAGAATTAAGTAATTGAAAAAATAAAATAAATTTCTTCTCGATTATGTAAAAAAAAAATATTTAATTTGGACTAAAATAAAAAGTTAAAAAAGTCACTTATTAGGGACAGGAAGGAGTAATAAATTGGAAAAATGACACTGTATAGCCGCTGTAAAAATAATAGCTGAAACTATGTATAGAATTTGTATATTTTCTCTCTCTCTCTCTCTCCCTCCCTCTCTCTCTCTCTCTCTCTCTCTCTCTCTCTCTCTCTATATATATATATATATATATATATATATATATATATATATATATATATATATATATATACACACACATTATGTATGTTATATATAAAAATTATACAAATTTTATACATTTTTTCGGCTATTAAATATAAATAGTTTCTGACGCGGGCTAAAAGAGATAATACCCCTAATAAATTGATTGATTAAAAAAGTAAGAATCAATAAATAAAAATAAGAATTGATTCGAAGGTATTGAATTCGATGAATTATAGTTTTAAATTAGGAATTAGATTCGACGCGATATGAATGATATCTAGAACATAACCTTAAACTTAAAATGCCAAAAGAAATTAAGACTACGATATCAAATAAGTTTTGGAAATGGAATTTAACTATTGTGATCTATAATGAATATATCAAAACAAATATTGAACTATACTTCATCTCCAAAATATGATCAATGTACAATATTAGAGTGATGATTTACTAATTAGTCCAAAGATCAATATATCAATCACATGAAACACCAATAGGATTGGCCATGGATAGTTTATATTCCATTCTCTTACCAACGACCTGATATCCGGCGAAAGAGACCATCACATTCTGTGACCTCCCATATTGGTGAAAGCGCGCTACACTTTTCACAAATGACTTGAACTTCGTCACTACTCGACTTATCTTGTACGGGGAAAATTGGACTGCTAGTGTTATGCTTTGGTCTGAACACAGACTTGAGAAGCTTCTGAAAGGTCCGGGAAATTTTGGAGCCTTTTTTTAGTGCACGTTGAGATTTTGACCCATCCAAATTCAGCCCAACCCGTTCATTTGACAACCCTGATTCCGATGATGAAGAAAGCGGGAAAACATGGTTATCGGATAGATGCGGCATTGACATAGTCCTAGAAGCTATGGCCATGCCGAGTTGGCGTTCAAACGATTTCAATTCGAAGGAGTCGTAGAGTGAACTTCCACAATCCCATATAAGACTAGGCTTTGCCGCCACCATACTATCCGACGATAATTGTCTTTCTTTTGTCATCTTTGTACTTTGTATCACTTTGGGAGATGGAAGGAGAATGATGACAGGATTATCTATATTTTTAAGGCGTCTGAAATTAGTGTTGTGCAATTATTAAGAGGAAGTTTCCTGTATTTGTTTCGACGCGTTGGCGGTTGGCGGGAAAGAAGGGGAAGAGTTTCGCTTATTTCATAAAAAAAAAAAAAAAAAAGAAAAATAGTACCAGATGTTGGTTTATGAAGTTCCACCGTTCACACAGTTGATCAACGGCGCATTTATGAACGACATATATAGTTGACCGTAAACACTTTCACATATGTATTTTGCTACTACTGTTCCATTTTACCTGACACTTTTTCTTTTTAATTAATCCTAGATAAAATTATTTTTTTCTTCTTATTATAGGCATGTATTAATATGTTATCACATATTTTAAAGCACAAGATTTATAATTTTTATTTCTTTCTTTCCTAAACTATATTCCTATTTAACTTCTTAAAATATTTTTATAACAAATAATTCTTATATAGAAATATTCAGATAAGGAATTTTTTTCTAAAGAACCCCGCCAAACCCCATAACTTTTTTAGGTGTGAACTTAGTACTACACCAACCACACCAAATACGATAATAATCGTTTCGTGTCAAAGAACATACGTGAGTCGGATCGTGCATATTATTGGGTAAATCTTCAACATTTTACTGAAAATTATGGACTGTAGCCTTATTACAATATTTTAACTTACAGAATAATTTTTATAAAAATGAATAAAAGTTGCATGATCAATTTTCTTTTTTTTATTCAAAAGAAAACAACGAGTGTGCTAAACTATTAGCAGGCCAGTGGAAACGAACATGATCAAGGTCATAGTCGGATTCAGTCAATAATCTCACCCTATGCTACCCTTTTGACATGAACTATTTTACATATGCACGTCCTTGGACAAATTTTATAGTTAAACAGAAAAATTCGTCGCTAATCTCATTTAGCGACGGATTAGCAACGGATTATTAAGAAATTCTGCTAGTTACGAGCGTTTTAACGAAAGATTAGCGACGACGTTCATAGTTAATTCCATTTTTTTTTTTTGTAGTGTATACATTTTGCAATGAAACGTTGACCTTCTAAATACTAAATATATATCTGGTCACCATTTTTATAACTTATAAAGAGATCACTCAAATCTCTAACTAGAATAAAAGATTCTTGCCAATTGTTGAAAGTCAAACAAGGTTTGCCAGAAATACTATTTCTTTTGATTCGCTTAGCAGAAAGTAGTGGAAAACATGTCTGTATTTTATAATTAAGGGAAGAAAAAAAAAAAAGGGAAACCCGAAGGTAGGAACGAGCGATCGCATGTGAAGGCAAATTAAATATGTTGAAGTAGGGTGGACCATGCAATTCATAACGGAGAAAAAAATGGAAAAATAAAAAATTAAAGTAGTCCAGTGCATACAAATTTGTCACGAATTTTTATTTTATTAACCAGTTAATAAAATAACAATAATAAATATTATTGATTTTTTATTTATTGAGATATAAGGTTCCAACGAAACATTTGAGACATTTTTTAGTACAATATTTTCCTGAAAACAATTTTTATGAAACCAAACTGGCTTGCGTTTACAACTTGCATGGATTATATCTTCTTTAAGAATATCTTAAGTTTGGATCACAGGATATTAAAAAATACTAAGATTTTTGTATAGGTCCAAATTTGGATGATCACGGCTTCCTGTGGCCGTTGAAGACGGCGACGATCGACAACGGTTAGAAGACGCACGGCTTTTGTAGTAGTGTAGGCACAATAGAAGGCAGTAGGAATATACTTTCGAATATTCCCTATGCTATATCTTTTAGGGGTCAAGAGGGGGTTGTCCCTTATAAATAGGAGGGAAAGACTTTGTAAAGGGGGCTGAATCATTTGCTTTCATGATATCAAGAAACATTATTCATCTTATTCATCCCTTAGGTCTTCCAGTCTAGAACATATTATACTTGGCTGAGATTTACCTCTTCATCTTCTTTAATTTATTTAATCAAAAAGGTTTCAATATCTTTTGCGTCAAACAATTTGGCGCCGTCTGTGGGGATTTCTTTAGCTAAAATTTTAGTTTCATCTAGACTCCTGAAAGGGATAATCACCTCTTCCTAGCTTGGTACAAACCAGCAATGGCAGGGAAAGGAGATGCAAGGCAAAAAGCAATAGTAGGCGTCACAACCAACCTTCTGGACACGATCAACGAAGATAGCAGAGAGGATAACGAAAATGAAACACCAAACACCGCACCCGGGGGAGACGCTTCACCTCCCCCGTGCGAGAGCGTGACTGCTTCGCGCGAGAGGGAATCATCCATTTCTGCAACAGGAAAGGCACCACCGGTAGTAAGAAGACTGCTGGAAGAATGGCTAACAAGTGCTCTGAACACCATACTTGATAAACCCGCCCAAAGGGATTATTGGAATGTTGCACATGCAGATGCCACAATAAACACTGATGAGCAAGATGCCCTCCATATAGGTAACACTTACGTTGCTAATGACGCAGGCAATGATGCACTTGCAGCCGTTTTGAAGAAAATGGAGGAGATGGAAAATGAGAATAAGGCACTCCGTGACCAAATGAAGGAACACCAAGAGAGGGTTGACAAAATACCAGGAGCTCCAAAGTTGCTGCCAAAACGCGATGTTGGTCGATTCATCAAGCAACCATACAGTGAAGAAGCGGCCCCCTACACCATCCCAAAGACCTTCAAAATGCCGCCTTACTTAAAGATATATGATGGTACTCCAGAAGATCATATCATCCACTACGTTACAGCCGTAAAAGGTAACGATCTCTTAAAAGAGCAGGTACCATCGGTACTATTGAAAAAGTTCGGCGAAACCCTAACAGAGGGAGCCTTGACATGGTACTCTCAACTACCAGCACGATCGATAGCAACGTTCGAGGAAATAACAGATAAATTCGTCACCGCCCATGCAGGAGCCAAAAAGGCAGAAGCTATGGTAAATGATATATTCGTCGTAAGACAGATGCACGGCGAGGGACTCAGGGACTTCTTAGCTCGGTTCAACAGGGTGAGAATGAGCTTGCCGAATGTGTCACAGTAGCAGTCTTCCGGAACGGATTAAACAGAAATGGGTCGAGAGCGACCAGAAAATTGCTAAGCAGGCTCATGAAATACCCTCCAACTACTTGGGATGAAATCCATAACGCCTACTGCACTGAGGTGCGAGCCGATGAGGAAGACCTCAACGGTCCGACCCAATGGCTGACGTCACTCCAAACTGAAGCAAGGCAAGATCGCCACAATGACGGTCGAAGAGATCAGTTAGGGCAACGCCTCGATCGGGAGAGGCATCAACCCTACGTCAGGACGTCTGCCCCGCCACCACCGCGGCACACAAATGATCCTCCTCGACATACAACACCATATCAACACGAGAAAGGTATGCCTTCACTCCTATCCGCTCACAATTTTTGTGTTTCTCATTTAGAAATAGTGTCCACACTCGAGAAACTCGGTCCAAAGGTGCAATGGCCACAAAAGATGAGATCAGACCCCAGCACTTGGAAGTCGAGCGCTTTCTACGAATTTCACCAAGAAAGGGGTCGCAAAACTGAAGATTGCATAGGACTACGACAGGAAGTAGTACGAATGTTAAGCCAGGGACATTTGAAAGAGTTGCTGAGCAATCGAGGACTGGCTAACTTCGCCCGCGGACGCGAATAGCCCTAAGGACCTCCAAAACTGCCTTCACCCGCTCGCACTGTACAGATGATCATCGGTGGGGGCGATGGCGCATCAATCAATCATGTCAAGTTCACCACCACACATAAACACAAACGATCCATCACCCATGAACGGTATGAGGACCTCGACGGTTTGTCTTTCCCTCACTATGATGCTCTTGTTATCACTTTACGTATTGCAGATACTGATGTAAAAAGAATAATGGTAGATGACAGGAGTGGCACGTGTATTATCCATCCTCGAGTCCTCGTGTAGATGAGACACGAAGACAAAATAATACCACGCTGCATAACGCTAACACGTTTTAATAATGCAGTTGAAAGGACTTCTGGAGAGATAGTGCTACCCATCCTAGCCGGAGGGGTCACCCTGGAAACGGCGTTTCACGTCATGAACTAGGAAACAACTCACAATGCCATAATAGGGCGCCCGTGGATACACGCCATGCGAGCGGTCCCTTCCAGTCTCTATCAAGTGATCAAGTTTCCTACCCCATAGGGAATATTCAACATCCGAGGAGAGCAACGCACCGCACAATAATGCTATCGCATCGCCCAAGATTGCGCACACACCCAACAACTCAAAGGAGCAAATGCGGAAGCATAGCAGTCAGCAGTGTCGGGAACCAAACTTGACGTACGGACAGACGTTATCAAAGACCCCGACATCGTGGAAGCATCCGAGTCGATGATAGAGAATCTTGATCCCGTCCCTCTAGACGGCAACGACAGCACAAAAAAGGCTTATATCGGGCATAACCTCTCGGAACCGGGTAGGTTTCATAAGTTCTTGACTGACCATGCCGATCTATTTGCCTTCTCACATGCAGATATGCCAGGTTTTCCAAAGGATATCGCCACACACAAGTTAAATGTCGACCCCTTTTACCTGCCGGTACGGCAAATAAGAGGGAAGTTCAACGTCGCAATCAATGAAGCCGTCAGCGAAGAAGTCGATAAGCTGCTCGCAAATGGCTCCATCCGAGAGTCAAAATACCCTCAGTGGGTCGCCAATGTGGTCATGGTAAAAAAGAAAAACGGAAAGTGGCGGATGTGCGTAGATTTCACGGATCTAAACAAGGCATGTCCAAAAGATTCTTTTTCGTTGCCACACATCGACTAGCTCATCGGCGCAACAGCAGGACACGAGTTGCTAAGCTTCTTGGATGCCTACTCGGGATACAACCAGATCCTCATGGAAGAGGAAGACCGGGAGAAAACCACTTTTATCACTCACCAAGGAACGTACTACTATAAGGTTATGCCGTTCAGACTTAAGAATGCAGGGGCGACATATTAGAGATTAGTCACCAAGATGTTCAAAAG